CACGTATGGTCTAAAATGTTTTACGGCCCATACAATTGCTAATAATTCTTTTTCCGTTGTGCTGTAATTCTGCTCCGCGCGAGATAGCACTCTGCTTGCGTAAGCAACAGGGCGGTCATTGCCTATGGGCCCCTGTGAGAGCACGGCTCCGATTGCATAATCGGACGCGTCTGTAGTTACATTAAATTCCTTATTAAAATCTGGATATTGTAATATCGGTGCCGTTATTAACTTATCTTTTAAAATATCGAACGCAATTTGTTGCTCGCTGTTCCATCCGAAGGTTTCGCCCTTTTTTGTCAATCTAGTCAGGGGTTTTGCGATCTTTGAGAAATCCTGAATGAACTTCCTATAATAACCGGCGAGTCCTATAAATGCCTGTACATCTTTAACTTTTTGCGGCGTCGGAAAATTTTTTACCGCCTCTAATTTTGATGGGTCCGGTAATATACCGTTTTCCGAGATTATGTGTCCTAAGTATATAACTTCTTTTCGTAAAAATTCACATTTATCTGGCTGCAATTTCATGTTGTGCGTCCGTAATCTCTGTAGCACTTCCCTGAGCCTTTTATTATGATCCTCTAAACTTGACCCATATATGACAATGTCGTCGAGATATACGAGACATTTGAGCCCTTGAATTCCAGTCAGTACTGAATTCATTAGTCGTTGGAAGGTCGCGGGTGCATTCTTTAGTCCAAATGGCATTCTGTTGAACTCATAATGTCCAAAAGGAGTTGAAAAAGCTGTTTTCTTTTTATCGTATTCAGCCATCGGTATCTGGTGGTAACCTGATGCTAAATCGAGCGTTGTGAAGTATTTAGCGTTTCCCAGCTGGTCCAAAATGTCTGTGATGTTTGGTAGCGGAAACGAGTCGCCTACTGTAAGGTCATTCACCTTTCTAAAATCTACAACTACCCTTAGTCTTGGGTTTCCGGATGCGTCAGCTTTTTTCGGCACTACTAACAGGGGAGCGTTCCATTGGCTAACGCTTGACCTGATAATGCCAGCATCTAGCATCTCTTTAACTTGTTTATTTACCTCCGCCTTATGCTTCTCCGGCAGGCGGTACGGTCGTACGTTGACCGGTGCTGAATCGGCGCGCGTGGTTATTTCATGTTCCACGGTCGCGGTGCAGCTCAGTGGTTCTCCATTCAAGAGAAATAAATCGCAATAGTCTTCGCATATCCTGTGTATAGCCTGTCGTTCTTCTACGTTTAGATGGTCCGTCCGTAATGATTGTCATACTTCCCGATTTCTTTTGCTCGAATACTTCGGAATTTCTTTTCGTATGAGGGTTATTTCATGCTTCATTTCCCCCTCTATTTCGTCTATAGTTATTAGCGGCGTTCTTAACTCGACAACTTTGTCGGTTGTGTTTATGACACTGACTGGACACACATAGTCTTCTGGCTGCACGAGGCATCGTCCTATATACACACCGGGTGCAGTTTGTTCGGCTCTTACGATTCCTGCGCTATTTTTATTTGTAGCAGCCCGGATAATTGTTTCGCTGCGCGGCTGTAACCGGATCCTTTCGTATGGTTGCAAATTTAACACGGCATCTCCTATGGTGAGTTCCCGTTTTTTGAAATTACAGTTAACTCCCTGTTTCCGCAAAAAATCTATCCCGAGAATTCCTTCGTACTCCATGGGAAAATCGTCTTTGACGACGTATGTTGTGTGTTTTATTTTCCGGCCTCCTATATCAATCGTCGCCGGCGTCTTTCCTATTGTTCGCGCTTTGTGTCCCGTAATGCCAATGAGCGTTATTTTTCCTTTATAAATTAATGCGTCATCTTTTAGATGTTTCAGTTTTATTAACGAAATAGTTGCCCCTGAATCGAATAGCATTTTAACTGCGCCATTCTTAGCTTCACGCATCGGCAGTGTAATTAAATCTAAACCCGCGCTCTCTTGTAGTGTGGGTCGTAGGTGTGATACGCGATACTCGACGGCGCGTGCCGGGGTCTCTCCTTCCGAGTCTCCCTCGTTGCTGTCGCGTTCGTAACTGCTACTGCTTTGCTCGGAATCCGTATCACCCTTTTTCGTTTTTGGCTTCCTTCGGCTCTTGGTTAGATTAACATTACGCTTTTTTTTTTCCTCATTTGTTCTGTCGCGATTTGATATTGTTTTTGGCCGTCCGTTTATCGTCCAGCATTCTTCACGGCTGTGTCCACGTTTTTTGCAGTGGTTGCAAAACTTTTCTGCTGTGATTACGCGATCTGACTTCTCGGGTTTCGGAAGCGCGTATTTACTGTTACGGCATTCTCGCTCGTAGTGCCCCGATTTTCCGCATTTATAACATTGTACGGCATTTTTTGTTGATCGCGACGGCGCTCCCTCGTAACGGTTTCGATTTGTGTAATTACTAGATCGCGTTGTAGTTGTGCCCTTTACTTTTTCTTCGGCGGTTGCGGCCGTTATTGCCTCCTGCAGTGTTTGGTAATTTCGCGAACGAATAAGAAGTTGTATCTCGTCGCGTAGTCCTATTTGGAAATTTTGCAAGGCTTGTTTTTGTATAGTACTTAGTATGATCCGCTTTGCAATGGGGGAGTGATCTTCTCCCTCCGTCATGGATTCATATAACTCCATAGCTAAAGTATCGACGCGCGTTCCGAAAGCTTGCGCGCCTTCGTTTGCCTTTTGTTTTAAGGAATTGAACTCTATCTGCAAATACGTAGTGCTTCGCCTACTCTGGTATGTACATTCCAATTGTCGCTTGAGTTCGTCGTATGTCTGTATGTCTCGCGTTTGAAAATCTAACATTGCTTTGCCTTTGAGTTTCGTGCATAGGATAGCTCCCACCAATCCTCTTTCGTTAGCAGGGTGTATGTTTGTCATGGCGTACGTACATGTGCTTAGGAATTCTTGTAATTTATGTTGGGCCGTCCCGTCAAATTCCGGAATCATTTGCCGTGCTTCTTTTAACGATAAAAAAGGCTCCTGCGGCCCTTGTCGATGTCTAGCGTCACTCTCTGTTCGTCCGTACACAACGTTATATTTTTTGTCGTCATTGTCGGGGTCTCGCGTTTCTCTCTCGCGGGTGTGTGTGTCCCGGCGGTTTTGACCTCGTTCGTCCGCGTATGTGCTAATATCACGAATTTGTTCGCGTAATATGTCTATTTCCGTGAGCATTTCCCTACGTAGTTCTCGCATGCCTCTCATTATCTCACGTAGCATAGGATTATCTATTCCGGCCTCCCTATAATTAGGAGTTTCGCGCACCTCGATTTCGTCAATGCGTCTATCTATGTATCGTCTGGTATCGCGGGGGTTAGTTGTTCCTATTTCGCTATTAGGGGGTGGTGCATGTACGTCGGCTTCCACCAGTCGAGTGTTGTCGCGAGCTATTGTACCGTGTAGACGGTCAATCTCGCGGTCGATGGCACCCTCGGACACATCCATGCCACCGTTAGGCGGTGTTCGCAGCATGTCCTGATACTCACTCGGATCGAAAATACTACTATCGTATGATGTAAGCAAAGATTCCCCGTGTTGTGACCCGTTGCTAGGAGTTCGTCTCACGCGTTCGTTACTTTTTTTTCTTAAATTTTTACCGGTGTTGGTTTCCCCTTCTTCGAATAAACTTTCGTCAAAAATGTTAAACGGAAATTCGCGTTCGGCTTTCCCGTGAGTATATGATTCGGAGTCGCTCTCTCCTGAATAATATTCTTCTAATTTTATCCGCACTTTTCCGAGGTTTTCTAAGGTTATCGGTAGTGCTTTGATTGATCGTGCGGCTGAGTCGCTATGTAACCACGAATTATTCGCTATCGCTTGTCGGGGTGTTTCGCTTTCCTCCGACATTCATGCAGTATGTATAAAAGTTTGGTTCGGACTTACATTAATGTTACTATCGCTCGCTTGCTGACGCTGCAGATCATCGCTCGGCAGTGTTGATACGGCTGGCGGTCCGGTGTCGTAAGGTGATCCTGCGGGTCACTGTACGGTGCGATGCGTTGTCCGGGTTGTCGTAGGTCGCGTCCTTAGGTGATGGCCTACTTCCCGACGGCTGATGCGTTGTCCGTGTGTGTGTGTCTTTTTGTACGTACGGCACGCTGCTGCTTATACGTCGGCTTCTGTTTTTGTTTGTTTCCCGTCGATTATTATGTTCGACGTGCCTGATTATTAATACTGCTGTATTTTTCAGGTCTTCCTCCGAGTAGTTCCTGACGGTCCTTCGGCGCAATCCCACCGCTGCCACCAAATTGTTGTGTGCCTCGGGAGAGACACTTAAGGGTCGCGCCAAATTGGGATGGGAATCCGGGGCGTCAGGACTTGTCGGGTGTTTGTAGAGAAATGCACTACACTTTTTGTATTAAAATTCTTTATTCAATTTCAACCACTTGGTCTTTATTTTATTTCACTATCAATACACTGTAGCTTTACGAGTGTGCGGCACTGACTTTATATTACTCCGCGTATCGCGCACAACTGCGAGTCGATGCTAAGTGCGCGCGCGGTTAGCGAGATCGTGGTTAGAGCGATTATTTGTGTCTGCGACTGAGCGAGTTGTCGCGTCTCTACTCTCTTTTTATATCGTTGTTTTTGGAGTTTTTCCCGATCGGAAGGGGTGCCTGGCAACAGGTTTCCCCGGTCGAGAATCTAGGTGCAAGCGAAGCAGATTCAAAGTCCTTCTGCTTTGCTTGCACGTTGACCAATTTCTGTTCCGCGTATATCTCGCATTGTATGCGTTTTTAACGCGGTCATTATCTGTCGTAATTCTGATTTCGCGTATACCTCGCATCGTATGCGCTTTTTAACGCGGTCATTATCTGTCGTAACTCTGATTCCGCGTATACCTCGCATCGTATGCGTTTTTTAACGCGGTCAGTGTCTGTCGTAATTGCGGATGCAATACAAGTACCCATTTCTTAATATTGGTTAACTTTTAATAGTTATATCTATTGTATATCTTTGGGGGATATAACATATTTTTAGAAGATCTATCTGTTGCTCAACGGAAAGCAAATAAAGCTAAATATACGTCTGATCTTTCGTCGCAAAATGATAAATGTAGGAAACAACATAGTAAACCAAAAGGGAAAAGAAACAAATCGACGAAGTATTTGTCTGACAATGACTCTTCTGATTTGTCACAGTATGAATCAGATATTAATAGTTATCCTCCCACAAGCCCTCTTATATCAAGTGGTAAGCATTTATTTTCTCTAAAAATATATTTTTGAGTTTCTATATAATAATTAATTTTACTATTTTTCTAGATGGAAACTTAGTTCAAAATATACCAACCGAGGTTGTAACTAAATCGACCGAATGTAACATTCCTCGAAATTTTGATGCTGGTAAATTAACACTTTATTAGTACATTTTGTATCAAAAACGGAAAATGATACTTAAGACAGGCACTGCAAACATGAAGCACAAAAGTCACTTTACATTCAAAACATAAAAAATAGTATTTTTTTCTACAATCGTTATCAAAAAAGTTTTATGCTTTGCTGAAAAAAAAGATTAAAATATTTACTTTTGTCTGTACTCCATGTGACGGTTGATTGTTTCCAAAAGATTTTACCTCTTTTTGTGATCTTCTAAATTCCATTGTAGTAATTGTGTAATATAATTCTAGTAATAAACAATAATAGTCTTTTTTAGTCACAAATGATTAGTCAGTAATAATCTTTTTATAATTCAATTAGTTTAAAAATTTTAGATTTCCAGAAGCAAGTATTAAAAGAACTAAATGCTATACACTTGAAATTGAATGATGTAATGGAAAGTACGGCTCTTTTATTAAAAAAACAAAAGAATTCAAGATGAGCCTACGATAACCGTCAAAGACATTCCACGTGTTGTCCATCTGTTTCCAATAAAAAATGAAAATACATTAGCTGAATTAGAGCAGTGGCTTAATGCAGATGATCAAAATAAAAAAGATTTGGTATGACCTTGAATAATTAAAAAATCGAATGCATATATATAGTGATAATTAATATTTATTAATACTTTTGTAACAATTTTAATTATTTCAGATTATTGAATTAAGTCGCGTTGGGGGCTTAAATGTTAAAGAGATCACAAGAAGAATTATGTACAAAATCTTCACAAATGAAGTTGGAATACTATACTCCTGGGAAGGAGCTAAAGGAAAGAAATCCTTCAAAAATCTAGCAATAAGTTCGGTCATTTTGGGTAATTTTTTTGCTTCTTTTGTATTGCTTCACACATATTCTATTAAAAGGGTTAAAATGGTTAAAATGGTATATAATTCGTAATATTTATATAATCTGACAATGAGTAAATATACAATAATATGTGTCAATTATTTTTGCAGATTTTCATAATTTAATTATCAGGAAACTAAATGCAGTATTGTTAAATCTTACAACAATTGATGAACGTTTAATAAAGTTGGATAATCACATAAGAAAAAATGAGGAAACGGATTTAAAAAAAAATGAACATTATGATTTCGATTTGCCAGCAGATACCGTAGAACAATTACAGAGAATTGATAATCAATTAAAAACAAATGTGTTGCTGCAGAAATGGTATATACAAAATATTATCATTTTATACTTACGATTAGAAACATTTTATTGAAATGTCTTATAAAAAGCAATATTTTGGACATATTTATTTATTTATATAATGTTAAATAATTTTAAAGAAGTTAAAGAAAAGTATAGTTAACTTTTTTTATAAGAGAAAAACAAATGTTTATTATTTTGATATTTTTAGATCATAAACTAATATTAATTAAATTATTTTATATTTTTAGACAAGACAATTGAGCTTTTTAGGAGGTAAGGATCATCATGATGTGATTTCGTACCTCGTACCTATATATATTTAGTACCTATATATAATATACCTCAATTTAACTATTTTATCATCTTATCTCAAACTTTTATTTTTATAAGAAACTGATTTTAAAGAAGGTGAACACATGCACTATCTGTTCATTATTGCGTGTATTAGTTTTTTTAAATTAAATACAACATTTAAGAACTTATTGTTATTTTTGTATAGAATATTTATTGCAGAATTGACTTATTGCACCTATGTATAACAATCACATATTTCTTTTTAGGAAAAAGGAAGAACAAAAAAAGAGATGCGAAAATGAGGAGATCTAAACAAGAAAAGGACAGGTTATTAAATATAATAATTTTAATATATAATAAATAAAATATTTGAACGTTTATTATTACGTTTATTGCACAGTTTATTATTATTACGTTTATTTATAGATTTTATAGAGTTTATTTTTGCATATGTACTTTTTTATTTTGAATGTATTAATTTCATACACAGTAATTATATATATATTTTATTATTTAAATGGTTACAGTATTAAATACATATGCATAGTTGTAAGTGCAATAAAGTAATTATTAAATATTATTTTTTAAATATAGTATAAAACGAGAAAAGTTATAATAATATATACAGTTGAATATTAAAGTAATTTAAAGTTCTAAGTATTTTAGTACTTTTATGCGTAGCTGTAGCATAAAAAATTAACAATCACTATGTTTATTTTATTAATGCCTATATATTAAAAAGTTATGCACATTTAAGTTTTCTAACAATTGTATCAATTTTTTTTCATAATTCTGATAAAGTGATAACTAGAATTTAAAAAAAATTACTTTAAAAATGATTTATTATAAGTATTAATTATATATGTTAGTGATATAGTTATTAAATATGATTAAATGATGTGATTTAACGTGAATGTGTATTAAATGATAGTTATACACCCACACACACGTACATATATAATAATATGGCTTATATTTTTTGGAACGTATATATGTATTATTTAAAAAATAAAAATGTAATTAAATAAATTACATTTATAATCTTTGAGACAAGCATATGACTACTGGCAGGATCAACCAGGGAGCTTCGTGTTCGGTTACTCGCAAGGGAGTAACTCGCGAGCGAGCCCGAAGACTCGTCGCTAGCTCTTTTTCGCGCGCGCGCGCGCGTTCGATGCCGAAACACCGACGCGCGCGCGACACGCTCGTATGTGCCATTTTATTTGCCGCCGATCTTGCTCAGCCGGTCGGCGACACTCTGCTGTGTTTAACGCTATTATGTAAAGCGTACGAGAGAACGACGGAGGCGAGAGTAAACCCCCGACGCCGCCGCCTCTCCTCTTCTTCCTCCTCCTCTCCGTTCAAAAATTCACAAGATCAAAATACTCGTGTTCTTATTCTCCCAAATGTTATGATGCGCGGTCTCGAGAGACCGCGCGATTCACCCTGACGCTAGATCGACGATGGCGATGCTTAGACGTCGAGGACTGTTCTGTCTGGTTCGTACGCGTTTAACCGCACACGACCAGCAATAAGATTTCGCTACGGCGTACAAAGCGAGCGGGAAGAAGCAACTCTTCCCGCAAACTCGTATCCGTGGAGTAGATGCTCGGTAAGCGCGACGATTCCGCTGCTGCGTACGAAACGAGAGGGAACCGCGCGGCCAACACACTAGAGGCGTGCGCGCCACATAAGAGCCATTCGGTCTTGCGACACCGACTCGTAGCAATGCTGTGCTCGTAATAAATAAGTGTGCGTTAATTTTGCGCGCGTTCGGCGACGAACGAGAAGAGCCGCACCGTAATCCCCGGCAAAGAGGAATACGAGACGACGCGAGAGTCGAACGTACGTTCTCGCGAGACACGCAACCTCCAAGCATGAGAAGACTTGGCGGCGGCGCGTTCTGCGACGATCGTATATTATTTTATATATTCGTGGTTTCCAAATCAAACATTTTATATAAATGTTCTCTCCGTGTCAGAGTCGCGACTCGACAAAATCCGTTCTCGACCCGTTCGGGCGATTCTTCGTTTGTCAACGTCGAGAGCGCGACACGTACAATATTAATCTCTCCTACCCTCTTATAGTACCCAACCGACCGGCCAAGCGGTCGGCGACGGTACGGAGAGCGGTCGAAACACGCCGGAGTGGCGAGAGACTCGAGAAAGTACGTTTACGACTCGTCCGGACTCGCTCGACTCGTTCGACGCGCCGAGCGCGACGTATCTCTTATAGTACCCAACCGGCCGGCCAGGCGGTCGGCGACGCACGGTCCTACGCACGGCCGTATGCGAGCGCGAGCGCCGAAAGGCGCGTTCAATCGAGACATTGTCGCGGAGAGCGAACGATCGAAAAGTCCTATTGTACGATAAAATATTATCACGATAGCCGTATGGCGAATGTCAAACAACGATAATTAGCATTAATTAAGAAGGAAACAAACGAAATGCCGGGACAATAAGGTATAAGCACCGACGGTACCTCCGGGCCGGGCGGCACCTCCGGGCCGGGCGGCACCTCCGGGTCGAGCGGCACCTCCGGGTCGAGCGGCACCTCCGGGCCGGGCGACACTTCCGGGAACCACGGCCGACCGGCGACACCTCCGGGCCGGGCGACACCTCCGGGAACCACGGCCGACCGGCGGCACCTCCGGGCCGGGCGGCACCTCCGGGCCGGGCAACACCTCCGGGAACCACGACCGACCGGCGACACCTCCGGGCCGGGCGACACCTCCGGGCCGGGCGACACCTCCGGGCCGGGCGACACCTCCGGGAATCACGGCCGACCGGCGACACCTCCGGGACGGGCGGTACCTCCGGACGACCGAATGATCTCTCGAAGTCAGACGACCGCCGGCGGTACCTCCGGAACACTTAACGACGATTTACGGCGCCGCAACGAGGAGAGCTACGTAAAAACGTTTCGGACAAAAGTTACTTACTATTCGGCGCTCGCTCGACATGAGGGCGCTGTCCGATTACTAACTCGAAACGTGTCTCTCAAACCCACGTGTCGGAGACATATATTTCGAATTATTACGGATGATACGCAACACGCAAGCTGCGGTGACCGCGATTACGGTACGGAACACTCGCCCGATGCGAAATCACGCGCGCGGCAACCGAGACGGCTCGTTACGGGCGTGATTATACGTGCGGCACCACATAACGGCCGGCGTCAACTTGGGGACGGACGGCACCTCCGGGACGGGCGACACCTCCGGACGACCGAATGATTTCACCAAGTCCGTTGCCCGCCGGCGGTACCTCCGGGGCACTTGACGGCGAGTAGCGCCGCTACGAGGAGATAATGCTACGATACGGAAATACGTTTCGGACAAAGGTTTCGTACTTTTCGACGCTCCGCACGACCGCGCGACACGATTATTACGATATCTGCTAATTCCTGGCTACCACTCGTCGGATGCACAATCTTCGAGATTCTACGACCGATACGTGGACGAATGCAGGCAGGATGCCGATAAGCGAAGCCGGAGTGTTTGCACGAATAAACTTTCCGATGCGTCCTCATTTAATTAATCTCATTTAGCTCGCTCGTTAGCGGTACAAGCAAGAACTCGGGAACAGGCGCAAGTTCACCGTACCCCAAGTCCGATCGCGGCGTGTTGCTTTCGTAGGCGGGCGACACCTCCGGCCGCACAAGCCGCTTTTTCCAAGTTCGCTCGCGGCGTGTTGCTTTCGCGGGCGAGCGACAAATTCTTCCAAGTCCGTTCGCGGCGTGTTGCTTTCGTTGGCGGGCGACACCTCCGGCGGCACGCGCCGCCCGTAACCCAAGTCCGATCGCGGCGTGTTGCTTTCGTTGGCGGGCGACACCTCCGGCCGCACAAGCCGCTTTTCCAAGTTCGCTCGCGGCGTGTTGCTTTCGCCGGGCGAGCGACAAATTCTTCCAAGTTCGCTCGCGGCGTGTTGC